AAAAGTAATTACTAAGATGTTACTTTTTATTTCACCTTCTATGAATTGGTAATAATTCTGCCAATAATCATAAGAATTTCCCTTAATAAGTCTTCAGCTAAGTATTGATCAGCACACACATAGGATAAAACCCTATGTTTTATCCTTTCCATGAGGAAAGAACCATCAGAAAGAAATAGGCTGCTTAACTGAATGGGAATAACTCACATTCGTGACAGCCAGAATGGAAAACCCTCCTGATATGTGGGGCATCAGGGAGAATTATCAGGAGGATCGCACTCTAGCAGTGGGGTTTATTGAGCCCCAGAGTAAAGTCTTCCTCGATCTGCTCTAACGGAACTTGAAAGCAAACCTGGAAAGGGTCAAACTGATCTCATGAAACTACCTGCTGGGAAGAGGTCCAGCGCTCTTTAAAGGAACACAGCAATCCTGCACTCACCAGGTAGAATTCACATGTATTAGTTTTCTAGGGCTGTTGTAACAAATTAACCACAAACTTAGTGCGGCTTAAAACAACACAAATGTATTCTTTCACTATTCTGGAAGCCAGAAGTCTGAAATCAAGTTAAGGAGAAAGCAGAGGGAAGGTGGTGTGATCCAGATCCACGTTGGCTGCAGGCTGGCACAGGGAAGTCTCCCAACGCCTATGGACCCAGCTGAAGCAGGGCTGGAGGAGAAAGTGCTCAAATATATGAGTTTATTCAACATAACTTAGCTTGTTGAATGACTTGGAGCCATTATGAATATTGATTTTTGGATTGCATTATAGATGAAATTGCAAGGAACATCTGCTGTGAACAGTACTGGTTAATGTTCCTTCAGTACGCTGGTTTCAGGAACCATTGAGAATTCCTCAGAGACAACTATAATAATGAAAAGTCTCTCAGAAGATAATACAAAGGGGAATTCACCTAAATGTCCTATAGCAGCCTGGCAGACTGCTTCAACCAGGAAATAGTATCTGGCAAGCACTGCTATGAAGACTGCAAAATGTATGTCACCAAAATAAAGCTTGCCAGTGGCACTTCCACCGTAATTGTGCCCCAGCAACTCAGCAAGCTTTGAGAAAGAGAAAGAGCTCTGTTTCAAATATGCGAATAGTGGTCAAAATTTGACCAAGTGGATTTTGTGGAACATCTCATTTTTCAGGCCTGTCATTACCAACACGGGCACATAAAATCATGTTTTTAAACATTTTTTGCAGAAGGATTTTATAACTGCTCTGTCAGCTCAAGATTTGGGTCGTATTGCTAAGGATATTCTATCATACCTACGTGCCAGACCACTGTGTACAAGGAATAGTACGTTATAGACAGTACTCAGCAAGAGAATGATCAGACACATTTTCTATGACAAGACTTACCAAAATAAGGAGAGAAGAGAAATAGTATTAATTCAAAACAAACCTCTTGATGGGATTTTGTCTCCTGACTTTTTTATGGAGCTTTACTTTATACTAAAACAGTGAGATAATAAAATCTAATTGGAGGTGGGAAAGACATGATTTTTATGCAGAATCCACTGCTAAATTAAAAAAAGCAAAGAAGTTTACTGTATATACTGTGATGCTCAGAAGAGAGTAAGTAGCCTTCAAGTGAGAAGGTAAGAACATATTGGATAAAAACACACACTGGAATACACACAGGTCCTCCTGAGCTACATGGCTTTTGTTGTGTGCCTTCAGTATGAGGAGAGAATGGTCACAACTCCACTGCCAGAATGTGGACTGTTGGCCTGTGAAACACACTGATTCCTCATTGTATAGCAATTTTGCACTTAAATGTCAGTAATGGTGTGTTGATGACATGCTCCAAAGACTGTTCCTTTGCTTTGGGGGATGTAGCTTCCCCAACTGTCAGCCTCCTAAGGATGTTGGTTGTGGAGTTTGGTGACAAGGACATTATTTCTTCATCAGGAGATAACACTATAATAGTGTGGAGCACAGTATGGTAAGCTAGTAAGAACATAAAATGGGCACAAGGGAGGCATTGCCCTTTTGCAGTACCAAGATAGGCTGGTAGTGATTTGTCTGACACCATCAGGTTGTGGGACTGTGTTAGTATGCCAGGGCTGCTGTAACAAAATACCGTGGACAGGGTGGCTTGAACAACAGAAATGTATTTGCTCACAGTTCTAGAGGCTGGAAGTACAAGATCAAGTTGCTGGCCTGGTTGGTTTCTCCTGAGGCCCCTCTCGTTAGCTTGCAGACAGCCGCCTTCTCTCTGTGTCTTCACATGGCCTTTTCTCTGTGCACATGTGCTCCTGGTATCGCTCCCTTCTTTTTAAAAGGACATCAGTCCCATTGGATTAGGGCCCCATCCATTTAACCTTAATTATCTCCTTAAAGGCCCTGTCTCCAAATACAATCACATTGGTGGTTAGGGCTTCAACCTATGAATTTTGGTGGGGGTCACAATTCAGTCCCTAATAGGGACATAGAGTCTGCAGCATGTTACAAGGACTAAAGAACCATGTAAAGTGGGTATGCTGTGTTTGATTATGTAATAAGGATAATCAGTGGGTACTTTAATGGGAAAATTGAAATGTAGAATCTTATAGGTCTTTTGGACCCCTGTACCTCTGAAGGGACTCTTTTATCAACACACTGTGGTGGAAAATTCAGGAAAAGTTTTCTAACTCCAGTTTGATGAATTCCAGTTTGTTGGTAGTCCACACAAGGACACAAGCGATTGTGGGACTTCCTAAATGATTCTGTTGCCTAAGCTGAATCTCTCCTGCTTTCCTTCCCAGCAGCCACCTCTGGCTCCAGATAAATGAGCATACATTGACCTCAGACTTGCTTAAGACTCATCAAAGCTGTGCTGTCTCAGTGTACCAGAGCTAGGGTGAGGAACAGCAAGAACAAACCCCTACAGTTTTCTGGGACTAGGTTTCATCAGGAAAGGAGCATAGTAGGGGACCCAGGATAGTTGGTCTCCTCAGCACAGCCGCCTCCTTAGGTACCACTATCCAAAATGTGTCTCATCTTTCTTGAGTGATTAGGATCTCCTGTCCCTCCCCCTCTCCTCTCTGTGTCTTCTTCCCCATGTTTGATTCTGGGTACAGATGACCTATAAAGGTATTCAGTTTTGAAAACAAATGAAAGAAAAAAACTGAGTTTGTCCTGATTCTACCACTGACTAGTTTACCTGACTTTAGGCAAGTTATTAAATTACTCTGTACATCGAATTCCTCATTTATAAAGTTGAAATAGGAATTTATGCCCTCACAGGATTGTCGTAAAGATTGAGTAAAATAACTTACATAAGCAACAAGCATGGTACCTAGAACATGGCGGGCACAGAACATTGATTCGCTGTCCTCCTCTGTGACACTGCTCGGTGGGAAGAAAAAGGAGAAGCAGTTTGGAGAAGGACCAATGAAGGGAAAAGTTAAAAGTTCTGCTTTTATATAAGTGATTTGGCATCAACATGCTAAGAGTTATAAACGATTTGTAAACTAGAAACAACATCCTGCATGGCATGTTGTAAATTAGGGACTGCGCCGAGCAGTACAATAGAGATTGCATTTGTACCATTTGAATTAAATTATCATTGCTACCCTTATACCATATAGTGACAGCAGTTAATTCCAAATTTATCCATTAAAATTGCCTGCTTGATGTCTTAAAAAATATTGTATTATAAATTAATTAAAGGGTACCACAAAAGGTTTTGTGAAGTGTTAATGGAATCAATCCCCTGCCTAAAACTCCTCTATCTTCCCATTGCCCATATTATGAGTCTGAACTCCTTTACTATGTATCACCTGGCCCTTGCTTACTCCTGTAGCCTCAGCTTCCCCCGCCCTGCTCTCCAGGTTCTTACCTCTGTTACTGGGGTCCCACCACATCGAACTATTGTGGGTTTCTCTTGCCTGGACTCTCACACATGTGGTGCAGTCTGCCTGAGACACACTTTGCATCTCTTCACCTGGCTAACTCGTGATTATCCTTTATTCTCATGCAAAACCTAAATGAGGTACCCCTTTTAGAAATTATCCTGTTTATCGTTGTATATTTAGCCCCTAGCACAGTACCAGACACATTAAGATTTCAGTAAATACTTAAGTGGATGAATCAGTACTCAGGCTAAATGCAAAGGATTATAATGATAATTTTCCATTACATATGTAGTTGTTTAACCTGTAAATTTTCAAATCCCATTTAAGTAGGAAAAAAAAAGAAGTAGTTTATGCTTTGGTGTCCATATTATGTCCTACTTGATACAGTGCATCACATCTAAAATGGTTGAGGTCAGCCTTCTTCCTGCTCTAAGGGTATGTAAATGCCTGAGCAGCCACTCATTTTGACTTGGGTTTTTCAAAAGGAAAAAAATCAAATATTGTGACTACTGTGACAAAACAAGAGGATTCTCATAGAAAGGCTTTTCCTCTTAAATTTGCATCTATTGAAAATAAGCTATTTATAAGGGTATTTTAAAAGATAGTCAAAAGCTTTCAGTGGTGATGTAAAATATCAAAAAACATATTTGTTTGGAGAGAAATATATCTCAAAAAGAGACATTAACAATAAACCAAGTGATCACAATGAAGTTATGTAATCAGATTGTCTCATTGAGCTTTTCCTTTCGTAAAATTGTTGACGTTCTGAAGAATTTTTTTTCAGATACGTCTGCTTAACACAGAGAATGAGATCTAAAGGTAGTATAAAACAGTTCTAAGAAAGTGAATGGTGTGTGAGCTTTTTTTTATTTGCTTCACAAGTAATTTACTTTAAAAAAAATTAACATCTGTTATTTTGAAGCTAATCTTAGTGTATTGAATGCTCTTAACCATTTCTCAATCCCACAGTCTTTTATCTTGCCTCTCCTGCTGTGTTCCCACCACCCCTGATCCCATTAGCAAACCTTGAGAGGGCCTCAGACTTACCAAAGGGCTGCTTTGGTTTCAGCTGCTCTTCTGCAAGAGGAAGTGAATGTTGGGGGTTTTCTCTGTGGTACAGTGGTGATAAAGCTGTGGTGGTCTTATCTCTCTCTTAGGTAGTGGCTCTTTATGACTACACAGCGAATCGATCAGATGAACTAACCATCCATCGCGGAGACATTATCCGAGTGTTTTTCAAAGATAATGAAGACTGGTGGTATGGCAGCGTAGGGAAGGGACAGGAAGGTTATTTTCCAGCTAATCATGTGGCTAGTGAAAGTAAGTTTTATGCTCCCTTCCTGGTTTACTAATATGGCATAACTGATAGTCCAAGATTTTATCATTCTCTACCCTTCAATTTACTGTCTTTGTAATTTTTGCATATGTTTACCAATGGGAATTGCTTTTTGTTCTCATGATGCAAAAAAAATGAAAAGGGGGAGGCACTAGTACACTAGAAAGTGATCACATTCTGAGATTGAAATATTTGCTGCATGGACTTCTCATCCCAGGGGACCTGCCCATTGGCTGCTAGCCTCCTTCTTCAGCCCCTTTCCCTGCCTCCTGCCTCACACACGGTTATGTCATCAGCTCTTGCCGCAGTGACTCCTCAGCTAACAGGTTCCTTAAGAACCTCTAGTTCCCCAACTCCTGTTCTTTTCCTTCATGTACCTCAGTCCTAGCCATTACCTGCTGAAACTACAAAAGATTGCTTCATTCTCCAGTAAATCAAGCCCTCGTTTGTGAAAGGGAAAAGAAATGAGCTGGAGAAGAAATTCTAAATAAGAGTTGCTGAAAGCTGTAGATTTACTACTAGGCCTTGAGAGGTGAAAATGGAACTAAACACAGAGAGCTTGAAAACAAAATAGTTTAAAGACTATGAAGAAAGGGGAGAAACATAGTTGTGCTTCTTCAGAAGAATGCCTCTTGTCGGCAATTAACTTGACAGTGTGATAGGAAAAACACCACACTCAGGGGTCAGGAAAACTGATTTCTGATCCTGGCTCCACGGCTAATACTGATACGCCTCAGTTTCCTCCTGTAAAATGAGAAAGTTGAGCTTGATCATCTCTAAGCTTTCTTCCAGAAACACTAAAATCGGATAATTCTGATTTAAAATGTAGTAAGGCAGCCTTGAGAACACTCTGTGTTTTGAATGTTTATTGCTAAGTCTTTTGTTTTGCAAAGAAGTAATTATTATAAATAATAGTTGATTTTCAGGCTAGTCTATGAAACTTCCTTTAATCCAAACTATGGCTGAACAAAAGTACTATTGATTCCTAACCTAAGTTCTGAATTTTGAGAGCAAAAGAGATGAAGGAAAGGAAGATGAAGGATTTCTTCCATGAATCCTGGAGGCTGTGCTAAGCCCTGATGGGAGCATTTCCCTTTGGCATCTCCCACTCCCTTGTCTGCCCCCTGGTGCTTCCCAGTGCCCCTCCCCAGTCTCTCAGGGCTCTAGGACTCACTGCAGCTCCCGTCCTCAGCTCATGTGCGTGCTCAGCAAGCTCCTCCCCTCAGAAGTGCTACCTGTCACCTCCCTCTCTCCTAACAAAGTCCTTAATCTCCTCTATGCCACTGTTTTAATTCTTTTTCTCTGAGTAGTAAGTGACTGATAGCTCTGAAACTATCTGAGGTATATTTTTATCCTTTAAAAGAGGATGCATAATGGAGAACACTTAAGGTGGTGTGAAAGCAAGAAATTTTAGGACAGTTTCATTCCCAGTCGTCTTCCAAAAGCTCAGCATTTCTAACTTCCAGACCGTCACAGATATCCAAGTTCCTTCCGTCTCCTTCCTTCCCTCTCCTTCCCAGCTGGAGTTGGGCAGGAGTAGCTTCTGTTTTTAAATTAAGAGCTGTCTGCACAATCATAGTCACTCTGGAGTATATCTGTCATTTTAACTAGATATTACAATCCATTATTTCTTCCAGATACAAATGGAAACATTAAAAAAAAAATTTTTTTTTATAATTTTATTTACTTATTTTTCCCCCAAAGCCCCAGTAGATAGTTGTATGTCATAGCTGCACACCCTTCTAGTTGCTGTATGTGGGACACGGCCTCAGCATGGCTGGACAAGCAGTGCATCGGTGCACGCCCGGGATCCGAACCCGGGCCGCCAGCAGTAGAGTGCACGCACTTAACTGCTAAGCCACGGGGCCGGCCCTAAAATTTTTTTCACTTGACAATATAAAAAGATTGTGTCTTTCCAGGGAGGATGGTATTAGGTGCCTTAACTTTAGAATCTAGTTAGTTTGCAAAAAACAACTTCTTAGGCTTGCAAATCTTGAGAGGCTGTAGATACTTAAGTGGATTAAAAATCCAATAAAATTTGTTTTTTTCCCATAATAACCAAAGTGAGACTTCTGAAGCATCCTGCAACAGTGGTTGGTGGCCACACGCAGAAATCAGTTCCATATCTCCAGTGGTGACCATCCTTCGACTGCCATCATTCCTTATTGTATCCCAGAATTGTTGGATGTTTTCTTTTGGCATTAGTCACTGCTTGTTGAAAAAGCCTTGTAAAGGCCAGAACAAACAGAAAACCTGAGAATATAATGATTGAATTCTCACTTCATCAGGGATTATTTTCCTTTCCCTTTTATCCTACTTTTTACCTGAATTAAACAAAAACTTGCTTGTCCAGTTTTAACATTAGAGAAAAAATGACTTTCAGCAGCATATTCCGCTCTAAAAATAGTAGGAGAGATTGTCTTTTATCTAAAGCCAAATATGCAAAGCAAATGATCTGAAGAAGTGTGTAATATGAACAGATCTCTACCAACTATTCAACTGAGTCGTGTCCTCAAGAGAACACTGCAACAGAAGACGCTGTAAAGGACTTACTCCGTTTCTGTCTTAAACTATTGGAAAGAAAAACAGGATCAACTTCCCTTAATCACATCTAACATCCTTTCCAATAAGAGAGAAGCCCAATAATAAAATCAACTCATACACAAAGCCGGTTAATATATCTCATAATCTTAGAATTTTCATCAGGTGTATTTTAGCAGTTTCTCTCAATTCAGTTGTCCAAGTCATTTAACCTAATTAGATTTTCTTTTCACTCCTTTAAAATTCCCACATGATTTTTTAGATTCAACATCATGTGTAGATTAAACAGATCATATTTTTAGATTCAACACCATGTGTAGATTAAATAGATTATATGGATTATAATCTTAGATTATAAGAATCTTAGATTCAACACTGTGAGTAGATTCAGTATTGTGTAGAGTCCTAGCCCTGTGCTTATTTACTTCATACCATCTTCCCAAATTATCCTTTCCCCACACCTCTGCCTGGCAAAATCTTACCTATTCTTCAGAGTCTGACATGCCTCCCACTTCTTCCATTAGAACATTTGTCATCCCCTCATCAGAATTTGTCTTTGTTTCTACCTCTCTTTCAAATAAGGTCACATTCTATTTTATCTTACAGTTCCTTGTGAACGTATCTGTCTCTGAGCAGACAGATACGTTGAGAGCGTAGACTGTCTTTTGGTCATCTTCATGTCTCCTCCAGCAGTACCTAGCCGATAACCTTGCATGTAGCAGGTTCCTGGTAAATGTGTATTGAGGTGAAATGAAATAAGCATCTGCATGACCACGTAGTAAGAGAAAATGATACCTTCTACATCTCTGAAATCCTGCTGATGAAAACTTACTACTCATAAATTACATTCTTTTGATAACTAATGTGTAAGGCTGCAAATCGTCTTAACAATAAGTGCTAGGTAGCTTGTTACACTAAGAAAGTGAATATCAGTCTCCTTAGTTTTATATCTTCCCCCCTCCATGTTTTTCCCCCATAGAAAAGTGCTCCTCATTTTGATTACATGAATTTCTTTTTAAATTCCAGCACTATATCAAGAACTGCCTCCAGAGATAAAGGAGCGATCCCCTCCTTTAACTCCCACAGAAAAAACCAAAATGGACAAACCTTCTGCGGCTCCTCAAAGGGTAAATGTTTTCAAGAATAGATATTGCATATGTACTTTGATTTTCACTCTCTCTGGATAAAATATTACTTTATTTTTCATGCTTATGTCCTTCATTGTATACATTATAATTTCTTTTAGTACAACATTATGAAATATATAAGGCAAATATTATTGTAGCCATTTTTCAGATAAGGAAACTGAGGAGGCTCAGAGAGATTATAAAGTAGACTCCCAAGTCACAGCTCAAGTGATGGGACGAGGACCCAGAGGGGAACTTGTGGCCTTAAATGTGATGCTGTTTCCACTCTAGACTTGTTTCTGTAACTGTGATACTGACACTGTTGTTGGCCCCTCCTGAGCGGCACACATTTATGCTAAGGTCGCTGGAGCCCCCAGAATAAAGAGGTTCTGTCTTCCTGGAGCATTCCTTTTACTCACTAATCATTTAAAACGTTTTCAGGTTAAAATGAATATGGGTATATTACAGGCCAGAGAAGTGTCGTGTTCTTTAGCCTGGGTCATCACATCCCTCAGGGATGTCAGTCTTCTGATGTTAGTAGTGCTGTGGCAGACAGGTTTAATAAACACTGTACCAGCGTATGTATTACTTATTAAACTTACTGTGTGACGTTAGCCCCTTCCTTAACTGAAGAACTCCACTTCTTCTTGACTCCTTGAACTGGCACATGCGTGTATATAAGACATATTTTTCTATGATAGAGTGTCATGGTAGAGTTTTTGACAGTCGAGCCTGTCGTGCATCATCAGTCGTTCTGCCTCTGCCTGTCGAGTGCTGGCTTCCATGCTGAGCACCCTGCCGGTCCTGCTGAGACAAGGTGGAGTGGACAGGGTGCTTGCCCTGGAGGAGCTGCGGGCTGGTGAGACTCGGCAGCAGGCATCTCCAGTGGATTGTGGTGGAAACTGTAGTGAAGATCTGTGCAGACATGTTGGGAACACACAGGAAGAAATCCTCTAAATCTTCCCTGGGGAGGTCATGCTTAAGCTGAAGCTTATAGGATGAAAAAGGATATGCCAGGTAGATGATCTTAGAGAAAACATTCTAGCAGGGGAATAACTTGAGTAAGGTGTGATATGGTACAGCTGTGTTTGGGGAGCATAGAGTGATGGAGAGAAGAAAAGGAGAGATGCAGGAGCCAGGCCGTGGGGAGCCTTGTGTACTCTCCTCGGATGCTTAGATTGTCTCCTTCAGACAACGAGGATCCCCTGGAGAAGGTAATCCAGGTAATGACGTGGCCAGATTTCCATGTTAAAAATATCGTTCTAGTGGCAGCATTGTGGTTGGCTTAGAGGTAGCTAAGACCCAGGGCAGGGAAATTAGTTAGGAATCCATTGACATAAAATATAAAAGCCTGAATTGATAGGGTTGGAGCAGAGGGGTCATAAGGTGTGACTGACAGGGTTTTATGATTGATTGGATGCGTTCAGTGAAATTGGCCTCTAGGATTGTGCTCAGGGCCCTGGCTTATCATACAGCTGAACAGATAGTGGTACCACAGAAATAATAAAAGAATAAGGAAGACTTGAGGAGATGAAGATAAGGAATGGTGGCGAGTTGGAATTGATGAGTGCAATTTTAGATATCTTGATTTATTAGTCGTGTCTGTAGTGCTTCCAGGTAGAAATATTCATCACTAGGGAGCCAGAAATGCAGGATTGGAATTCTAGAGAAGGTAGGGCTTCAAAATAAAATGGGGAAGGGTTATTCGTGTATTCGTTGTATTGTACCACTAGAGTTGAAGCTTGTAATGAAGGAGGTAACCCAGGAAAAATGTTGTAGAGTTCTGAGAGAAGGCGGCCAAGGACAGAATCTCAGTTGAACAGTGGTGTTTGAGGGACAGTCAAAGGGAGAGGAGAAAACTAAGAAAGAATAATTGAAAAGAATAATAAGGAAAGAGCTAGAAAAAAGAAGTGCCCTGGAAGCCAGGGATAAGAGAGGTTCAAGGAGGGCATAGTCAGTAGTGTCAGAAACAGCCAGTCAGTTAGGTTGTCTAAGCACGTGGTAATCAGGAGGGCTCTGACCTCTTTGCACCAGCACCCAGGGTTGATATAGTAAGACAGGATTGAAAGGTAGAATGGGCCTCAGCAAGTAAACTCATGGAAGTCATTCCCAGAACTTCACTTGAAGAAAAAAAAGTCGAGCAATGGCTGGAGGGAGACCCAGTTCCAGGAATGACTTTTTAAATGTTGGAGTGACACATAAAATTATATACTAAGGAGACAAAGCCAATGGACAGGTCCAGGGTGAAGATAGATAAAGAAAGCACACATGGATCTTGGAGGAAGCAGGACGTTTTTAGGTTGATAGATTAGTCTCAGCTTAGAGCAGTGGATCTTAACTGAGGGTGATTTTTGCCTCCCAGGAGACATTTGACAACGTCTGCAGATATTTTTGGTTGTCTCAACTGCAAGGACTGGGATATTACTGATATCTAGTGTAGTGGGTAGACGTCACAGATGTTGCTAAACATCCTAGAATGTATAGGACAGCCCCCCCTTAATGAAGAATTATCTGGCCAAACATGTCAGCGGTGCTGAGCTTAGAGCAGTACCCCTCTAAGACAGGTACGTGTGGTAAGTGAGGATGCAGATAGGTTGATAGAGTGGAAGTCTAGAAATTAAGGATATCTTTATGTTCTCCAAAACAGAAAGGAAGGTCCACTTCAAATGTGAGGGTCAAAGGAGTGAGATGGAAAAAAGAATAGTGACCGTTAGAATACCTGTAAGGACGGAAGGAGCAGGAGCTCATTTGGGACATAGAAAGAGATTCCTGAGTGGTTCTGGGAGCTGTTGCGTGGATACCATAAAAGTGTAGGGGGCATAGTTCTGTGTAGTCATAATTTTTCATCATTAGTGCTCAGCATCTAGAGCATAGCAGTGGAGAAGGCAGATTTGGTTTGATAGGTATTTGGAGTTGTGGGTGTGACAGAGGACAGGAGGGTGGGAGACTGGATGGCACTGGTGAGAGAGTCACTGGAGGGACACATCGTGGAGGATCAGCCACATTGGAAAAGACGTGGAATCAGAAGACTAGCAGACTTAGAACACAAGGTTCCTTGCAAGGTTGCAGTAAGCCACCCACGCCCAGGTGGAGGCCAAGTGTCATACAGTAAAGGAGTTAACAAGCTGAGCTAGGGTATGTAAAGCCAGAAACTCTTTAGCTTATTTAATATTTCAGATGTGAAGCAGCTCAAGGTTATGATAAAGTCACAGAGTATGTATAGGAGCTGAAGTGAAATTGAAGGATGTGATTAAAACTGAGCTAGCCAAGGAACCAGGACCCAGAGTATTGTACAGGGTGTCCTCTTGGACATGAAAATTCCAGAATGATTGCAAGAGTTGGGATGAAGGAGACGCTGGTGAATCAGAAGCTGAAGTTCTTAATTCTTGGTTAGAGCAGATGTCTCAACCTTGGCTTTGCATCGAAATCACCCAAGAAATTAAAAAAATAAATACTGATGCCTGTCTCCACACCCACAAATAGATTTAATTGATCTGGAATGGGTAGATTTCAACAGATTTCCAGGTGATTTTAATGTGCAGCCAACTTTGAAAACCATTGTGTTAGAGTGACCACAAGGTCTGAGGGTAACAGATGCAAAGATGAGTAGAGGGTATTGTAGCCAGGTGTCAAGGCATCCAAGGAGGAGTGCGTTGAAAGAATAATAGCCTAAAATCAGCAGCAGAGAGCTAAGAGGAGGCCAGTGTTAACTCCAGGCCCCATGGTTCACAGGTGGGTTATGTGGGAATGAACAGCCTATGCTGCAAAGAACTGAAAGAAAAATATTTCTTGGTAAAAAGCCAGTTTCAAATACAGCAAGTGTATATGGTGATGGTTGACTATCACAGTATGGGGACTACAAGGGATATAGTTGAAAGGGCTGGTAAGGAATTTGACTACAGGCAAATATTACATGTGTAATATTATCCATTGTTTGGAATTCACTAGATTTAAGAATTTAGGAAGATGCTAATGTAAATTTACAACCTAAAGATGTTTAACACAATGAAAGCATTTATAATGTTGGCATAGGGAGTCATTGTGACAGCTAACAATATTTGTAGTCTATGTCAAGAACTGTATGAGACGCTGTGAAAGACACAGGCTTTACTTGTAGTGGTTTACTGGTGCCTCTGACTCTGCATCATGCTGACCCCTGAAATCAGAGTCACCTAACCCCCACCTCTGTGTGCTCCTGTCCAGTAGTCTTGAACTAATTCTGCCTCAGCCAGAGGAAATACAGGGAATTCGGTCAGCATCTCACTGGTTGTGTTAAGTTGGCACTGCCCCTTCCTCTTCCCAATGCACCTGTGTCCTGTGGGTAGAGACCTCCTCCCTGCCTCCAGGACTCCCTTCTCACTGCCTCTGCCTCTCTGCTTAGGAGACAGCTGCTGCATTATAGTCTTGGTCTAGACTGTGGTTGATTTTTTAAATTTTGCGTGACTTTTCCTCTCACAGACTGATCTCCATGCTTAAAATATACCTTTAGGGCCGGCCCCATGGCTTAGCGATTAAGTGCGTGCGCTCTGCTACCGGCGGCCCGGGTTCGGATCCCGGGCGTGCACCGACACACCACTTCTCTGGCCATGCTGAGGCCGCGTCCCACATACAGCAACTAGAAGACTGTGCAACTGTGACATACAACTATCTACTGGGGCTTTGGGGAAGAAAAAAAAAGGAGGAGGATTGGCAATAGATGTTAGCTCAGAGCCGGTCTTCCTCAGCAAAAAGAGGAGGATTAGCATGGATGTTAGCTCAGGGCTGATCTTCCTCACAAAAAAAAAAAAATATATATATATATATATATATATATATATATATACACCTTTATATTCTGTCCCAGCAGACCAGTCCTTCAAATACTCAACTTGACCCTTGAGGTCTGCTTCAGGCTAATCCCCCTGCTGCCCAAAGCCTAATTCTAGTAGACCTCAAGGAACTTGCAGACGTGCAAAGCAAAACATTTAAAAACATAAACTAAGTAAAGCAAGGGAGTTGCG